TAAAAAATAGGAAGAAGATCTTGCATCTAGGTGGCCGCTGCATATACCAGTTAGTACACAATCTGGCTAAGTTAGTGTGTTAGCACATGCGCAATATCTAGCCGGAAGTAGTTATGATTCTGTGATGATTAAGCATGTTAATATGGTTAGGGTGGTACCAAGCAATATGCATGCTAAGGACGAGTCGACAAAGCTTATCATAAATCGATTTAAGTTAAGCCTAGATATTCTCAGTCATCTGACAGAATGATACCTCCTCGTCTCTCCTCGTTAAAGAGCTATAACAAAGCTCGATGCCAATCACACGTATTCACACGCCGCTCCCAAGTGATCTTCGCCACTGGCTTGCCTCACCATTAGTCAATCCGTCGCACATCAGCTCCTTCTTCTGTTGCACTCCTAGACAGTGAATCGGAGGAGCGATGGCGCCGGGAGTCCCGTCTAGGTCTGCACCAGTACTAACGCTATCTCCAGTCTGCTTTCCACAGTATTCCCACCCCCATATAATTCACGCCGGCGAGCAGAGGACACTAATGTATAATTGTATTGATTCAGGTTTCGTCTCAGTCCGAGGGCGACACTGCACGTGAGAACTAACGCGTACGGGATTGCATCTTAGTTAGCGTCAGGAGGAACTTGTCAACGCGACAATTCTCTCTTCGGGGAATACAATATTTGCACAAATCCAAAAAAATCGCGTTTCAAATAAAAGAAGGAGAGGGATATAACTAACAATACCTAGTAATATTAAACAATAAATTCAGCAATCTAATAATGTATATAATTAATCATTTTCCACAGTAGACCTTCACTTAAGAATAAGAAAAGACCTTTGCAATGTAATCGTGCCCGCTGGCATACTGTTGACATAACATAAGTATGTGCTCTCTACTTTGTTAAAAATAGGATAATATATTACAACCAATTTGTAAATTAACTAAGCACAGCGCCGAGATAACACGTCTACTAATATCGAAATAACAAAGCTTGTAACATACTGATAAACTATATTTATTTTAATATTATTATAATTCACACACCAGTAATAAAAAAATCAATAGATCAGAACACAATTTATCTTATTGAGTAGCATAAGAGAAAAACAACACCAACAAGCCACACAGATATGTTGTATGGAGTAGATTCTTATGATTTATCAAAAGGACATGACACCAGTAAGATCCTCGATACGAGCCTCGATTCACTATCAATGATGACAAATAATAACTCAGATCAATGAACAAAAGAATAACAAGCATAGATTGCTGCCCTGGCGCGTAATACATGTTAGTGATTTTTTTGACCATGATAGGACGGCGACTAGTCACCTGGAGTGAACAACGACCGATTGAGGGGATACGGTACGTGTGGGACAAGGTGATGGGGCAGGTGAGGGGGAAAGGTACGTGTGGCGACAAGTGAAGGGCACATGAGATGTTAGCGATAACATAGCGATCGAACATGGAGATGAAGAGGCACACATATCGCAGACTCAGATTGGTGATATTAACCGCATTGAAGGGACCGGTACGTGTGGACAGGTTGAGGGGACAGTACGTGTGGCACCTATTGTAATTGAGTACATAGGTACGTGTGGGACAGGTAGTTGTACACCGGAAAAGTGGAGTAAATTCGGAAAATTAGCTAGCAAATCAAAACGAGCCGAATCGGACCATAGCTTCGACCACAGTCTTGATATGTACTAACGCAAACAATGCGTGGGCACATCAGAGACATGTAGGGGGACACTGGCTACGTCGGGGTACGCCGACAGGTACCGTGCTGGGGAAAGGTGAGCGTGGACAGGTCTAACTGTAGAGAGTGTAGCTTTAGACGACAATTATAGAACGATAGGAAAAAATTGTTCTAACATCTTTTACGTAAAAATGAGATTTCTTACAATATATAGATATATATATATATATCTATATTTGATATTGCCATTAGATGCAATCCATTATTCTAGAAGCCCTGAATTAACAATTCTTGCTTTACAAACACACAACAAATAGTAAATGAATTATAAACAACACCAACAAGATCACGTAATCACAAGGTAATAAAATTACTATAAGCTATCACAATAAGAGGATAATGCTAAATTATTATAAACACATGTCTACTTCCACATGAGTCGATACATATGTGTGATTGATGTCCCTAATTATTTAAAGTGCTCTAGTTATAAACTCTCATGACATTTTAGCATAGAAGAGCATATGACAGAGGTATGGTCAGCAGAGCAGAAATAAATGAAGACATTAACAGAACCACTCAGTCCCGAAACCGCTGACAAGATAAGAAACTTAATATATTTTTTCGGCAGCTGTAGTGCCCAAGTGGCTATCTGAATATAGACATGGTCGTGTAGTGACACAAAAAACACTACAGACTGCAGTGCAAACAGATGTCGAGCAGACAGTGGCAGCATAGCCTGAAATCAAGCCGTTCTTGGAAATCAGGAAAAACAGCAGGGCGGCGCAACTGTCGTATAAACCGCCTGTCTTTCGATCTATAGCTTCGCACCGATCTAGCGATAAAATATCCGACGCACGGCCGAAGCTGGAGCGCGAGTAGCCTTTGAGCTATTAGCGCAACAACGATAGCTCGACTGCAGCTGTAGGCCAGAATGCAGAAGCAGAAATTGTCCACAGTAGGTAGTCGCAGCGGGCGCAAGATTATGCCCGGGTAGGCAGCGTAATCGTTTTTCTGTATTCTGACAGCCGTTTGCCACTTCCCATCCACTGGCAAGAGGTTTCGCGGAATGTCAGCATTGTCGACAGTCCTTCGTCTGTGATTAGTCGGCGCTGACACGATGTACGTGTTCATCGCGCGACCTGGGTCTGCCACGAACAGATCCTACCCTTTCCGGCGAACGCAAGCGCTTGTATAATAGCGACAAGTCAACACTGGCGTTCGTTCACGTCGTCGTGCTCCAATGATGTCTACCCTGCTGAGTGTCAGCCACACTACGAGAGAATGCGGGGCATGGTGAATTCCCGGACGCGTCCGGAGGTGGCGGTCCGAGTGCCAGTAATGGATCCGTGCGCCGCCCGCACCCTCGGCCACGCGAGCCGTTTTTTCACCCATCAAATGCGGCTCTATGAGCCGGGCGATTACAAGACAGCCTCCCTGCGGGACAGACGGGCCGAGCGGTGACGATATCGACTTACAAGTACAAGATAACGTACCGGATTCCATAGCTGCGCAGCGCGCTGACATGGCTCACCTATCAGCGTCGAGTCAGAGGTTATCAGGGGAGCTGCATACTCCCTCGCCCGGTTATACAAAGACTTGAAAATGTAAACACACAGCTGCTCTGCTGCTACTTCAGGCAGAGAGTGAATAGCGCCTTGCCGAGCGTGGGCAAGTAACTCGCCCAGGGAGACTACATTGGAGCCGGACAACCACGCATACCTGAGTCCGCATTTACTGGTGAAACAGGCTGCAGCCGCCTTCAGGTGTTACTGAGGAATACTGAGAATGCTAGACTACAGCACTTGTCCTGATCGGCACCATACACTAGCTTGCGCCCGGGACTAAGGAGTATCTAACCTAACTTAACTAAGTACAGCAACAGATCTGTCTCACCAGGCCGTTGCGAAGTAGCATCATGTCTACTATCTCGCAGAGCGTCCACGAAACAGTCATGAATAATAAGACAACCTCCTAGTAGGCTTCCTCTGTCACCCGCCTGAGAAGAGAACGATTTTACGCATGTATTGGGAATAATACAATGCATCCACGAATGACCAGAACACTGCTGCGGCACGCCATCAAAAGCACTGTCACTAAACAAGCGCACCAGCAGCACGTTAATTAATCTTGATGCCTCAGAGAAAAAGTCTGGTGCATCATTTATGCTAGTTAAGGCGATTACTGAACACCAACGAGGGAACCCTGATGGACACTTAGATGAGGATCAAGTATAGCTGACTCACTCGCCTGACCTCAGTCCTATTTATTATATAGTCTCCGTAAGTCGTTAGCCCTAATTGATTCTAACCTTCTTTTCGACTGACGATCGTGCAGCGAAAGCGTATTGAGCGAGTGAGCGAGCAGCAAATGTCAACTAATATTATGAAGTGTATGAAATTCACCTATCTCACGAATGATAGCTAGCCACCTCTACAGCACCCTTGAACGTGTCATCTTGAGATCTCATGAGACACGCTCTCAAAATCCCGCGAGACTGTGCTGAGCCGATGAAGCAGTTAGTAGATCATGTTCGATCAACACTATAGAGCTTTCGCGAAGCAAGACAGAATAAACAGAATACGTTGATCTATTGCGCTATACAGAGTTATATTAGATGCCAGATGTATTAACACAGAATTAGAAAACAGACAGTAAGGAGTGCCTCTATTATAGAAGTTCTGAATACTACAATGCTCGATCTATATCGTTTCGCTGAGCCTGTATACATCTCTATCACAGTGTATGCTCTCGCCCCTTGCAAGCGACACGTCATAGAGACAGCGAGAATATAAACATTGAAACACACCCACCCAGAGGTACCAGTCGAGGTAGATCAAGGTTGTTGTGCACGAGCCATATATGAAATAGAGGTGTCCTATGATAGTACGGACAAACAATGAGAGCACACGAATTATATACAGCGAGCATTACTGACAAAACACCAATTATTTGTCAAATATATTCGAGTTTTACGTGTATTACTCCATAGAGTATGCTGGAACATGTTAATAGACTAGTTACCCTCCAAGACAAAGCTGTGCACGAGTACCTGGTTGTACTACACAGAGCCATTCAATGATTACCCGACAACATCTATCTTAGCTAACACCCTACATAATAGCAGCACCCTTAGGTACAGCTTATGATGCTGCTGAAAAGCTTAGCTAGAGCCGTTACACCAGTATTGCTATGTCTTTGCGAGCTATGAATGAAATACAAGTAGTACAATCTTAACGAGCGAGTATCACGGTGAAAACGCAGAAGTGAGTGATCTTAACGCGATGTAAAATGCACTAATCTGACATACGCTATGATCTATTTGTTCTTAGATTAAATTAAAATAATGTCAAACACATAAATCATTCAATTAAGAGAAAAGTATAATATGGAAGGTGGCGTACGATTAAGAAACTACTTCATACTGAGAGAGAGGAATCACTACTGCCTTTCCATCTTCTGTATCCTACTAGAGGGAGAGCGCACTTCTCCTCCAACACATGATAATTAAGATAATATCCCTTTATTCACCACGATCTCCAACGCATTCTGCTAAAAGCAGGAGCCATGCCTGTGGGCGAGGTAAAATGACGACTAGATAGGGAGTCCAACGCAATCAGAGGCCAGCTGCACTCGATGATGCCAACATTACCCGTCTCCTCTCGAGATAGACCAAAAGGTACAGATGAGCACTACTGACTCCTTAGCGCATTACGTCACGAATGAGGCAGACATATATTAGGACAATACACATCACCTCCATATAATTTCTTATCAACACATCTACTCGCACCTGAGCGTTTGGGAAAGGGAAGAATCAGAAGGACTACATAGTCTATGCTCCATATGTGTTCTTATAAACGAAAGAGAACACACAAATGTAGTGATTTCACGCGCAGACGATCATGTGTACATTTATCGCCGCCGATCTGACTAGGGCATACAAGCTACTCATTGGCAGTAAGTCAATCTTCCCTATCGTCTCGGCACAGCGTGATTGACGAGAGTCAGCATCTGGAAATATTCACCTCAGACATGATAAAGTCTACGTGACTTCGTACAATTTCTCCTTACCTTCACCGACCTTCACCCGCCGAGTGTGCCGAATCTCAAACACTATTCTGTATCCTGGAGTTTTTTCTCTACTTCACGCACTGTTTCCCTGTACACTGTGCGTGATGTGATGCAGGTGTGGGAACTTGCATGGTTAAATCCTATAATTCGCTCACTAGCGGTGTCCCCAGGCGTTAAGCACCGAATTGTTTAGACACAAGGCACTATAGTCGAAATCAATGAATCATTGTGTCTATCGAAGAATACAGCACACCGTTGACGGCAACGCCATGCTAACTCAGCTTGTGCAGCCATCGTGGAGCAGTGTGGTCACTCTGCGAGACGATGAGCATGTCAGCGCAAGTGATGCAGTTGTATCCCCCTGCGGAGAGAGAGAGAGCGGTATTTTTTGCAAAGATTCGTGCCTTGTGATGTCTACGGCAAAACCTATTGTATCGCTAAAGGTAGTGTTACCTACATCTTATGGTCCAACTATTTATGTCGAGCCGTTATCTTAATGTGTCATAGAGTCCACATAGAAACATTCACATTCAGTATAGAGCGACATTAGATCTTTTCGCGCACCATGGTCCAAAAGTGTATAAAAATACTAGTATTCGATATAGTATTACATAACCCGGCGTTGGTTCGATGATTCCTGATGATGCTATGAGTAAAAGATGAATGTCTCATCTCCGTTGTCGCACTTCTAATGTCTTCGCTTTTGGCGCATTATAACACACACCAAGCCCCAGTACAACGTGACGGTTCAACAAGGAGTACATCACTGGGCTAATCTATAGTGATCAGAGACTCTTAAGACAGTGAGAGTTGGATCTGCGAAGCAGGAGTATTGTGGCATTACGACCCTATATTGGAGAACAACAAGATGGGCATCTAACGCATAGGACCCCGCAGAAAGGAACGATAACTTATGATAATCTTTTCTGAGATGAATATACATTTAAAAATTGTTTTAGCGGCGGACATGTATCCCAGACAAATAGATTTCCCTCTTTAATTAAGTCACGTCTACATATGCGATATAAGTATCACTAGAGTATTTCAGTACAAGTCTTAGACTGGAAGAAAAACACATGCTTCGCGAGTGGTTAATAATTTCGTCGTGGGAGGGTTACAAAACCACATACTTCTATGGCGGCCCATCTGATTTCCGCGGAATCGGTGACGAACCGTCGTGGTTTGCTATTTCCCCGCGTGTTGTTATTTTCGCGATCGGGACCTGCCGTTCGGCTAATGAGAGCGCGTCCTTAACCGCGAAACCTTAACACGGCATCCTGCCGTTCGAAATATACCCTCATTCGCCCGTATACAGTATAACTATAAGCGAAATGATCAAGAATTCAACATACACTTTCTATACGTATTTCATAACTCCACTCCTGTTTTGCATGAATAAGAGGCGACACAGAATCTATCGCCAGCTTCCGGCCCGAAAAACGCACAAAACGGCCAGGCTATCGATCGCTCCCTCCTCCTCTCCGTGCTGTATCTACCTTTCAAATCCTCTATCGCTCAGTAGGCCCACTCTCTCGCGGCTCCCCTCAAGCAAGCTATTAATTGGTAAAGTTTGCGCAGCAGAGATCATCTTGCAAGAGGTAGCGTGGCACAGAACCACCTGACGTTCCATCCGGCGCTCTAACGCACACACGGTGGCGCGTCGAGGTCCGCGCCATGCGCAATAGCGGGCAATGCGCACGCGAGGAAAATCCGCAATTATATTTGCGCGAGTACAGCGTCTTGGATAAAGATTGTGGCAGCTCGGCGACTGGCACCTCGACGACACAGAAGCCTGAGGTGCACCGCGTAAAGCTGGCTAAGATCTGCACAGATATAAAATAAGACTAGGAGCTGGACCAGTAAGGCAGGCGATTGACAAGTTCCAGCAAACCTTAAGGGCGAAAAGCTGACGTGCCGCTCTTACTCAATGCGAGTGACAGGTGGCTGCGACACGACGCACTGTTCGTCCTGAGCTGCCGAGCCGCGATGCGAGCCGCACGCTGAAAAACAACGCGCTTGTCCGATCAGCGCATTCAGAAAAAGAAGGAGACTGCGCATGTGATTGCCATGGGTGTTCGTATAGCGCGCGTCGCGTCGGGCCCTGTCAGAGTCCGGCGGCATGGCTCGCCGGAGCAGCCTCTACAAGTGCGCCCTCGGCGTGGTTCCCGTATCCACCCGGAAGCCTTCGAGCGTGCGCGCGAGTGGGAAGACCACGCAATCTGGCCTCACGGCAGGTGGCGGACATCTAACCTTTAGGTGGTGTTGGACAGGCGGTGTTCGCAGGCCGTAGATGCGCCCAGCGTACACAGAATTAGGCATATCCTCACCTAGAGAGACGGACTTATATTTTCCGTGATTTGAATATACATTGAACAATCGGGCGACGACGTGGCCGATGAATGCAGAAGATTGGTCACAGCATAGCATTCTGCTACACGCAGTGCATGGAGAATGTAAAATCGCTCTTTAATCTTGGTGAGCACACACGCTCGCTGTATTCGCCTACACTGTAACTTAGCAGAGGGGCGGAAGAGCGACACGCAATGTATTACCCGTAGCCAAATTTTGATATAATTTTTAGTGAACGCAGAATAAGTTAATAATTACAACTCTTTTCGATAAATCAAAAAAGCCACCCAGTCCCCCTTACACATGACCCTGACCGAGTCATCGGAAAAGTGTCATCTACATTTAGGCTCCCCATGTCCCGCCATTATTTCTGTCACAAAACACCCCTGGGGAAAAGACCATGTGATCCCAATGTCGGGCCAAGGTGCAAGCCGGGGGAGTCAGGCCGATATTGGCAATTCGGGGCTAAATATTATCACACAATATCGGGCCAATATTACCTCGTTGCCAATGAGTTAACCCGATATTCGGGGCCAATATTGGCCTGGTGGGCATTATATTATCTACATATCTCTATATAATATATGCTATATATTCATATAATATAATGTATATATGTAATGCCTAATAATCCGCTCAAATGCATATACATAATGCTGATATTTACCCCCCTTAGACCGAATAATTCTGTCCCTGCATGATAACGTCGTTGATCTTAATCATCTCAAATCTTTCATTTCCAAATGATTCATATATCATATATAATATAGTATATATATATATATATAATATATATAGGAATAGCCTAGTAAGTAGTACTACTCAGTACACCGCTACGCGCCTCCGTCTTCCTCGTAGTATAGTATAAAAAATTGACGTTATTCTACACAAACAGCCTGTTGCAATATATTAATTATTTAAATATAGTCAATTAGTATTAATGTAGGCCTATGCATGCTATTCTGGCATATTTTTCCTATACTGCTATTATTTAGCCTATATGCTTATAAATACATATATACCACCTATATATATAATATATAATATAATCTTTTCATGTTGTCATCATTTTCACTCATGTTTATCATCATCTTGGTTGTTTTCATACGAATGTAACATAAAGAATTATCCATTGATTGAAAAATAGGCTCCGACTAGCTAGCACGTGACTCGTGAAACGTCACGTAAAAAAAAATATTTTTCGTGTAATTTCTTCGTACCAATTAGCTCCAATACGACTGTATCTATATACATATCACAGTATTTTATATAAATCTTCTTAAGTAATGGATCAAAGTTTTTTTTGCAACATGCAACATTTGAATAATAGAAATAAGTCGGCGTTTTCTTATTATTCATTTGAAAAATGTTTGTCGGGGGGTCACAGACCGGCAGAATTCAGCTTTACAGAGTGGTTGGAAGAATGGCGCTCTGCGCGTCACAGTCATGTTAAGGCGCGGCCTATGGCCCACTGCTACGCATGCGTCTCAAACAGAGAATTGCCTCTCAGACCTGTGATTGAGGAGCGCATTAAAATAGACACCGCCCTAAATCCGAAGCCGCATAACAGCTACCATGAACCGTGGAACGTGTACCTAACATCATATGGAGCGAATGATTGACGCCTTACATTTCATAAAATTCTAGCTATTATAGACCACCAGGCTAGCCTTAATCTCTGTGAAATTTGAGTCTATGAAGCAGCGATTAGCATCACTAATTAATTAGTCAAAATACTGCACGCTGCAGCCCTATGACCGTTGAAACGAAACGTTTCACGAATCCTATATTTCCCTTATCCCTCCAAAAATGGAAATAGGTGGGCGGGGTCTATTCCTTATCCTGCCATCACAGGTCGGAGCAATTCTCTGTTTAGACCGCATGTGGCAATGCTCTCCCCTCCAGATTAGATTAATAGAGAATCAGTGCTACACGCCCGTCATGATGGAGCCGGCTCCCAGTCAAAGTTTTTACAAAGGCAAGCTCAGTTACTAAGGTGTAGTAAGGCAGTACCAAATTTGGGCATACTTGACATTCAAAATTATTCAGCTGCCTCCAAGTGGTGACTGACCGATAAGCCAGGTCAAATGCTTTACACCCGGGCGGTGTAGGAGGTGCATGAGTCGGCTTCCGAGGTGGCGTTTGGCATGTGGCGAGCGAGGTATAGGAGCCGATATCTCACGCTAGGAGTACCTCGTCACTTGACAAGGCGTTGTCTGTTTTTAGATAGAGAGCAAAGAATTCTGCTTAATGAATACGCATATAAATTATTCCCAGACTCGCAGGCCCAAAGTACCGCACATATCCCAATGTCACGTCGTGATCCACTTCCAGCACAAATCCTCCCGTCTAGCGCGTCTTTAGCTTACCATGAGAGTGTGAAAATAGTTTAGTCCCACTCCGTACTATGTGAGCTCCGCATCTCGATTACCTTAGATATTGATTTTGGAATGAAGCCCTTATATACGGCGAATACTTTAATAATAAACATGTGAGTGTGACGAGCTAGCTTGGAGTCAATAAACCTTGAGACATAAACGCCGCGTCTAAGGCCGTTTCCCGCATACCCCTCCGCTCTACGTCGCGTACATAAGTCGATTAATTTTTGGCCACGTAAAAAGAGAATTTGTGCAACTGTATAACCTTGAAATATAGTTTAATATTCGAAAGCCAGAAGTTAAAATCTAAGCAATAAGGCTTAATATAAGAAACATTCCCAGCCAGTCGACATTATTCAAGGCGCATGCATTTGGAATATATTTATAGAAGAAGAGAGAACTGCATTATATGAGCGCATATATAACGAGTTGTAATGAACCGAGCGAGCGGCCACTGGAACCGTTACAAACACTAACAACCACCAGCCCAGCACCAATACACACCAAATCACCCTGGCTAGCGTATCAGCTTGTGCATGGGATATAGCCAACCTGCTGGCTGTATGCCCCAGGCTAGCTGGTCGCGCTAGAGCGTACTCGTGTGATTGTCCAAGGCGTGAGTATGGGAGGGTGGGGGAGAGTTTTGGACTACAAGAGTACTACAACAGTATATATATTTTAAAAATGGTTAGCGAGAAATCGATCCAACGTGTTCGCGCACATAGAATATAGTAGAGTTAGTCAGCTTTAAACTCACGTAAATAATGGAATTTGGTTCTTAAACCTGTATGCTATAATTAATTGCATAGGAATTCTAAACCAGCAATATCTAAAAAAGCCTTATAACCGATTTCAGAACACCCTGACAGCTACATCAATTTCAACACTATGAGGTGAAGAGTCGGTTCAACAGCAAGGACTGTAACGAAGTATACCCTGAACTAAATAACGTCGTAATAGTGTAGCGAGTAATGGACCATAGAACCAAAGCTAGTAGCGCAATGTAATGATTAGTTGTACAGCTACTAGTAGCAGTGTTTAGTAATCGATGTAATAGTAGTTGTACACTAGTAGCATGTAGTGTATTTTTGCTGGGAATCATTTAAATTATATATCATGTTTTTTATTGGTTTGTACCATTTCCCATCTTACCGACCCGATCTTCACAAAGAACTGGTAGACCGCTAAAGATTTTTTAGTGATTCGCCAGCTGGTTGATGGGTCCGGGATCTCGCGTATCGGATTCCTCGTTGAAGGCGGCCATTTCCAAACCCAACATTTCCCACCAATTCCACCCGACAGTGCCAGTCCCCCTGATCCTACGCTTAGGCCTCATCTCCCCTCTAACCGGCCGCTGGTGGGCTTATTCTTACGAAGCACCCTAAATTTCCCCCGCCTGCCCTGTTGTCCTGTAAAGTCACTAAAAAAACAGCAAAACCAGTGTTTACACGCAAAACCACCTAAGGTTTCATTTCATATCCTACAGAATGTCAATGTTCGCGACAAAATGACATCGTGTTCGAAAACCGCAACGCCTAAGTAAAGCCAATAGTCACCGGAAAAGCCACTGTTACCGAAGATAGGAATGAGTATTTACTGACTGAATTCGTATACTAAGAGAACAGGGCTGGGCATATCAAGCGTCGTATGAACTACAGAGACACATGTGTAGGTCGAGCTTAATTTAAGCACGTCCCGTATTCCCGAGCGGAAAATCTAGATTTCTTATGCGCGTAAACTACCAACGCGAATGCACAGCCCAAATGGCTGCATAAAAAATCAACGTATACTGCGCCGGGCCACGATGCCCAAGTGTTGCCGTAGTGGTTAGCCCAAAACCATAACAGTAAACTAATGTGCGAACGATTTTGCCCATCCCAGATGAGCAGAAAAACTAATCCCGAGTTTGCAAAAAGTAATTAGTGCATTCCAATTTCCATTGGCTCTAAAAATGAACGAAAAAACGTTAGTTACTTTATCCCTTAACTGGCAGGAAGCTGCACAAATCAATACAAAAGGGCTTCAGTAAAAGTAAATTTAAGCCAACCAATTCCAGCAGGTGGACAATTAATTACTTACAAGTTCGGAAGAGAAGCAAAAAAATCTCTTACGGAGAAAGAAAGACACTTAAACTGACTAACTGATGGAGCTACACTTGTAGTAAAAAATATATAGCGAGTCTGTAAAAGGTCCGCTCGACGGGCAACAATAAACCACATGAAAATATACACCCGGAGGAACATATCGAACAGTAACTCGAATTATACAAAAAACATCCTGGGTCAATAAACAGCAAATCTATAAGTTTGCGAGGTTAGCGCCGAACGACAAATATCTATCTTCCAAAACTCCAAAGACAAGAAGAAAGATTATAAATAAAATATCGCGAAATTAGAATTAATGGCAACCATATTATAACAAAAATTGTATCACCGGACATGTGTAGCGGGATAATCTCAAGCTTATTGAGCACTCTAAACTCACAGAATTGTGAACATAAACTCAAAAGGTGTCTAAATAAAATATAGAATACAAGAGATCTTAGCTACAACACGAAACTATTCGTGAGAAAATAAATTACAGCGAGTATAGCATTACAAGAGCCATCCAGCATCATTATACCCTACGTGCCGTGCTAAATGGCAAAGTACACCCCACAAAACAAGTGAACAGCGACCATCTACCATGACGCTTGGAATGCACCACACCGAGTGTACGCCGTCTTATCCACACACCCAGACTTATCGTCTGAAACCGCTGTCACTCTATCAGACCTTAGCTAACACAAAGCCACGTATCCTCCACTCCCTATTCTTCTTCTACACCAGCCCCCAGCTATCTTCCCTGCCGCTTCTTCCTCCAGCGTCACTTAGCCCCTCATCGCCATCTCCCCCTCAGCAAAGCTTATTGTAAAGTTTGGCCTCAGGGCTGCTCGTCACAAAATCGCTCATAAATATACAGGCGCACAACGTATGAAACGAAAAATCAGAGTATTTTCACCAAGCGTACGGCGCCCCGAACACGCGACCTAACTCAACAGATGGTCGCCTAGCGACTCTCATATAGCTCCCCCCTGCAGCAACACTCACTAGCCGTATACCCCGTAAGAGCAAGTGTGCGAAGGTAGCGAGGACCATGCGTCAGATATTTTGGCTTCTAACACCCACCACGACTGAGGCACAATACACACATCAATACTACTAAAAAAAATGCAAAACGGAAGGCAGCCTTACACCCCACTAGACACTCGAGGCTTAAGTATGAGAACACGCATATTCCGCACAAGTAAGATGGCATGTACGAAGGCCGAGCCACTTCAAATCATGTGTGAAAGCAGATTTTTATTAATTTCTAAGGAAGTGCAGATACGAGATTCTCTATCTGCGGGCATGAAGGTCCCCCGGCGCTGCCCGATTAAGTGCACACAACACGGCGCCAAACGAATCACCACCACAATAACATGAACTATGTCTACGTTTATCCTAGTTGGAATAAGCAGCATGTATAGCCGCTCTGAGAGACATTTTTTTTTAGCCACCCTGCGCATGTCTCACAATGTGACACAGCAGCTGTTAGGCTGTACTACGATTGGTGTAGAGTTGGAATATGAATGCTATCATGTCCTTTGAGTGAACATATTTCAGGCATTTGAGCGAATAAAAGTATCGGAGCTCACAAGCGAGCCTTGGTGAGCGACTAAATCACAACCTCAATAAGCACTATAAAGATTCCCTCACAGACTGACAGACTTGTATGAAATATGTCAGTACCATACTCTGAGCTTTGAATCAAGCTCTAGAAGCGAGGCAGAGTAGGCGCCCTAGCAAGTCGAGTAAGAAGAGGCTTAATAAAAGTAACAACTCAACCCTATATACCGCACACGCTACATGATAAGATCACCCTAGAGTACAGATTATCCTAAAGGCAAACGAGGAGTCGTAACCTTAAACCCCCTTGCCCCACTCACAGACTTGTTGTTCACCCCTGACCCACCGCTTTGGCGACATAGTTTGGGGGTGGCAACGATTCACTCATTCCTTGTGACGAATATCTATCAGTTATAAGTCCCCGACTGTCCACGACGCGATTGGGCCCTCCTCTCACTGTTTCATTTATGTCGACTAAGACAAATTGCGCATAAATCCATCTTCTAGCTTGAATCAAGGTGGCCGCCAAAAATTACTCCGCAGGCAACGCGCTAGATATCAAACAGTACACCACACACTGTCGCCAGCCGAACTTCGCGGTCGGCAATGAGAGCCCATTTTCTCAAGTCTCGCCACTGTTCAACTCACTACAAGATCTCATGCCTCACCACACCGATACGTCAACAGACAAGGGACTATCACATGTATCATAAGTATGGTGACACAACAGTGGTCGGCGTACGGCAT